ATTACTGACATACTGACCACAATACCACACACATATTACTGACATACTGACCACAATACCACACACATATTACTGACATACTGACCACAATACCACACACATATTACTGACATACAGACCACATCTTTCACCACAATACTTACAACAACCACACACACAAAAACAACAACAAACAAACAAAACACAAGCGACTGACCTGGAGCAGGAGATCTGGCCGGTGAGCAGGAAGCCCAGAGACACGGCGGGGTTCACGTGACCTCCGCTCACGCCTCCCAGAGCGCTCACGATGACGGAGAGGAAAAACCCACAGCCCAGCGCCACCTGGGAGGATAGACAGACAGACGTGGAGCTTTGGGTCTAGGTTTGGTTTTGCTTTTGGCTTTTTTGGTTTGGTTTGGTTTGGTTTGGTTTTGTTTGGTATAGTTTGGTTTGGTTTTGGTTTGGTTTGGTTTTGGTTTGGTTTGATTTGGTTTGGTTTGGCTTGGCCTGTCTAAGACAACCACTTTGTTCTCCAAGCAAGATATCCACCTATGTCTAAGACAACCACTGTGTTCTCCAAGCAAGATGTCCACCTGTCTAAGACAGCCACTTTGTTCTACAAGCAAGATAACCACCTATGTCTAAGACAACCACTTTGTTCTCCAAGCAAGATGTCCACCTGTCTAAGACAGCCACTTTGTTCTACAAGCAAGCTGTCCGCCTTTCTTGTTCGTTCTATTATAATAAAAGTGTTTTACGGCACTTGCAACACAATAAGGTCATATCAGTGCCGAAGATTAGAGGTGTTACAAGAGAGTAACAAACACAAAAAAGAAGGAGGGGAGATAAAGACGACAGGAATTTGATAGGAAAGAAGAAGCCAACCACACCAGAGCACTCGCCAACCACGCACATCCACCTGTCTAAGACAACGACGTTGTTCTACAAGCAAGATACCCACCTATGTCTAAGACAACGACTTTGTTCTCCAAACAAGATATCCACCTATGTCTAAGACAACGACTTTATTCTCCAAACAAGATATCCACCTATGTCTAAGACAACGACTTTATTCTCCAAACAAGATATCCACCTATGTCTAAGACAACCACTTTGTTCTCCAAACAAGATATCCACCTATGTCTAAGACAACCACTTTGCTCCTCGACGGAGGGTGGCCGTGTTAGACAATTTCAGAACCAAAACCCACTACTTCTGAAAGAGATAGAAGGGGTTAATGTATTTAACACTCCAATATTCCCCTACTACCAGAAACGGTTCCTTCGAGTAAAGAAATCCAATTTGCATTTTTCTCCTGTCCGTAAGTTTCATGAAGGCAAGCCACTACAGCTATACTATGACGAATTGAGTCACGACGTGGTGGAACCAGGCGCTCGTCAGTTTGGGGAGCATAATAATATCCTGGAGATGTTGGTATCACCTTAAATAAAACTTGTTTATTTGGCTTGCTTTTGATAAAAATAAATACACACAGGGATATTTATAAAGAAGTCGAGATTATTTGCGAGTAAAGGAGGTGGGGGTAGTTTGGTTTCAGTTCAGAGGGAAAAATCAGCGAGAAGACGGCTGTAGGAATTTGGAGACTTCCAAAGCTTGAGAGTCATTAGAACCTGCAAATTCACATTCTCTATGCCTTAGATCAATGCTTTTCAATAATATCCACACCGAAACATCTTTTAGATGGACATATAATGTATTGGACCCCCCAAAAATGTCTATAAAAGTTGCCCAAGGGACAGAAAAATTAATGTCGGATTCTTCGAGGTCAGTGTTTTGACCAGCGCCTGATTTCACCACGATGCCACACAAATTTGTTCCTCTTCACACTGTGTGACAGTGAATCTATCCTGCATACTTTAGATGTTTCCTGCACTGTTGTACTGATGAGGTAACCTAAGCGCTGACATTAAATTATGGTCTCCGACATCAGACACGAAAGTAAGGAATGGGGGCTTTCGTGGCAGAGAGGTTAAGGTGTTCGCCTCTGATTCAATAGGTCCCGCCTTCGAATCCGGATAGCGATGGACAATTTTCTTCTATAAAATTTCCTCCTTTTACTTTCTTTCCTGCTCTCTAACATTACTAACAATGCTCTGTCGTCTTCTTTCGTCTCCACTTTCTGCCACCACCCCTTCACCTTCTTTACCCCCTCGTCTGGGTTCCTGACTCTTTCTGCAGCCGTTTTACAGCTAATCTTTGACTCCTTATTACTACTGTCTTTTTGCCACACCCCTGATCTTCTGGTAGGAAAGATCTACGTAGACCTAGCCTTCTCGGAGAAGGACGAAAAATCTCGTAGGTCCCGTGTGCAAGTTGCGTCCAAACCCGGGAAAAATTCAAAATGTTCTACCAACTTAAAATGTTGGATGTGTCCCACGCTCTCAAATTATGACCTTATGCATTTGCGAACGCCGTAAAACACTTACCGCACCAAAACAACAAAGAAGGCCATGTGCTGAAGGAAAGGTGTGAGGAGGAAGGAAGCACTAAACATGACACCAGTCGCTAGAAGGAGTGATACTGAAAATCAATCTATAGAAACATGTTTTAAATGGACATACACATTTAAAAAAAATAAAAATACTTTGCCCACACATTTACACGCACACACACCTACACACAAACAGGCACACACACATAAAGCCACACACATACACATACACTCACACACACAAACAAATATACAGACAGACAGACACACAAACTTGCAGTAGACGGGCCCCATCCGTCCCCTCCTCGCTCAGCCCCACACACACAAACAAACAAACACAAACAAACAAACAAACACAAACAAACAGACACACACACGAACACACACAAACAGACACACAAACCTGCAGCAGACTGACTCCCTCCGTCCCCTCCTCGCTCAGCCACACACACACACAAACAAACAGACACACTCACACGAACACACACAAACAGACACACAAACCTGCAGCAAACTGGCTTCCTCCGCCCCTTCCTCGCTCAGCCCCACACCAACAGTGAACACAACCATCACACACACACACACACAAACAAACAAACAGACACATACACAGACCTGCAGCAGACTTGCTCCCTCCGTCCCCTCCTCGCTCAGCCCCACCCCCACAGTGAACACAACCAACAGAAAACTGCCCACAAACACAAACACACACACAAACAGATACATGTACACACATAATATACTCACACACACACAAACAAACAAACAGACACACACACAAACCTGCATCAGACTTGCTCCCTCCGCCCCCTCCTCGCTCAGCCCCACACCAACAGTGAACACAAACATCACACACACACACACACGCACACACGCACACACACACACACACAGATACACACACACACACACAAACAAACAGACACACACACAGACCTGCAGCAGACTGACTCCCTCCGTCCCCTCCTCGCTCAGCCCCACACCCACAGTGAACACAACCAACAGGAAACTGCCCACAAACTCCGCCAGCGCCGCCCTCCACAGAGGAGCCTGTGTGACGTCATCTCTCTCCCTCTGGTACACGCGGCTCCACACTGACCGCTGGTCACGTCCTCTCGTCCTGGACGGCTGGTCATCAACCTTCAGCTGACCAGGGATGGACGCTACAGACATTCCTGCACTGCAGAAGACCGCGCGTAAACCGGAATCTGAGGGACGCCCGATTTTTTCTCTCTCCGGTTTAACCAACCGGATTTTTTTCTCCAGGTTTAACCAACCGGATTTTTTTCTCCAGGTTTAACCAACCGGATTTTTTTCTCCAGGTTTAACCAACCGGATTTTTTTCTCCAGGTTTAACCAACCGGATTTTTTTCTCCAGGTTTAACCAACCGGATTTTTTTCTCCAGGTTTAACCAACCGGGTTTTTTTTATTGAAGAGTTTGCTCAACAAAAAACAGAAAAACTCATCGTGGATTATCCATTCTTCTTTCGGTTTACCTGTGTTTTCGGATTAACCGTAGTCGGCTTAAGCGGACTCAACCGTAATTATTGGCTTCTCCGAAATCCTTCGTTCGTGGTCGGAGTGCTAGTAAGCGGGTGCCCAGATGGACGCAATATCTTTGCCCATTTATCCAAAGAAGATCAGATAATTGATACAGATATCATGGCTTAGTTGCCATGTGAAACTGTTGAAATCACGTTTGAAAAGAAGATACTATTTCGTTTTCTGCTTCTCTTGTTGATGTGCTAGGAAGTGGATTCTAAGTGGATCCAATATCTTCGTCCAAAGAAACTCAGATAGTTGACAAAGTTTTCATGATCGCTTTCTTGTCAGTTGCTCTGTGATGCTGTTGAATTCACGCTTGAAAAGAATAAACTTTCTCGTTTCCCGTTCCTCTTCGTTGTATGCTGGTATGTGAAAGTGGCTTCAGTAGCCTAGTGGTTAGGCTACCTGACTCGTAATCGTGAGATTGTGGGTTCGGGGGTTCGAGCCTCAGCTCGGTTCGACGTTGTGTCCTTGGGAAAGGCACTTTACACGAATTTCCCTCTTGGCTCGGTCCTTTCGGAGATGGACGGTAAACTCGGAGGTGCCGCCTCTTAAATGACTTAATACTGTTGATAGGAGCGTCAAACCGATACCTTTTCAATAATGTATTTATTTATTTATTTATTTATTTATTTGTAAATGAAGTCTAGGAAAGCGCTCATGTCATATGAGATTTAGCGCCGCTAAAACAGAAACAAGGAGTCTAGGAGGACTCAACATCTTTGTCTTATTATCCTAAGAAGTTGGTGATATTGGAAATAGTTTTCACGACTGCCTTTCTTTTGAACTGTTGGGTAACCTTGTTCAATCCAGGTTTTCTTGAACAAGTTCTAAGAAAGTTACTGAGGATCAAATGGACAGGCAGGGTCACCAACAAGGAAGTGTTAAGGAAAACAAGCCATATCCCAGTCAGAGGTGATGTAGGAAGAAGGCGGTGGAGATGGATTGGACATACTCTCAGGAAGTCAGGCAGCTACATAACAAAAAAAGTGAGGGATTGGGATCCACCGGGTAAAATATCAAGGGCAAGGGGAACACCGCGTGAAACCTGGAGAAGAATCACAGAAATTGACGATGTACTGAAACTGAAAAGTGGGAAGACATGCAATAACATCAAGAGGCTAGCCCAGGATAGAGACAGGTGGAAAGTGGTTGTCCGTGGCCTATACCCTGGTGCAGGGTGAGAAAGGCAAACATGAACCTTGTTGAATTAAAGGACATTCGTTGTTGCCATGACATTCAACGTGGACAGGAAAACTGGTGTTGAATGTCCTTGCAACAGTAGAAACGCGCGGAACGTGAGGCATGGGGATAGCTCCATTGTCTCTGACGTCCAGTTAAACCTACCGTCTTTTTTATTTATATATTTTTATTTTTATTAGATTATCGTCCATACTGTTCTTAAATGTGTTATCGATAAAAATGTCAGCCTTTTGGACGGTAACGTGAATGGTGACAATATAGGTTGGTGGGTATAACATATAACAGGGGGGGGGTGAGAAGAAATGGAAAGGGGGGGGGCAATTACAGCGAATTACAGGCGATTTCCAGGTTGAGAACCATGGATACAGGGTGCATGGAAGTGGAACCAAATTGGAAAAAAGAACATAATATTAATTAATCCACAGACAGGAAGAAGAGGCTAAAACAGCACCTGGACATGGATCGCTGGTGCCTCTATAAATAAATTATTGATGGTCAAGGTCAATGATTAAATGTTTTTGCTGTTTTTGGAAAACAAAGACCTAAACTACATTTTACAAATTTAAAACCAAATAAAAAGCTTAATCTTCCTGTGATCCGAAAAATGTCAATTTTCTATATATATATTTTTTTTAATGCGTTGCTGGGAACACTAATTGAAACATCCCAAACGTGTCAACATCTTACTTTTCAGACTACCTAATATTACTCATGTGAAAGGTAAAGTGTTAAAGACTCAAATGACTAGATTTGTGTATCCAATCAAGTAAGTGATACTTTTTTTGGGATCGCCAGTCTTTAGAAAAATAATATTTTCAACAAACGATGACATAGAAAGTAATAATATTAATGATAATAATAATTATGATAATAATAATAATAATAATAATAATAATAATAACAACAACATTAATAATAATAATAATAATAATAATAATAATAATAATAATAATAATAGTAATAATAATAATAGTAATAATAATAATAGTAATAATAATAATAATAGTAATAATAATAGTAATAATAATAATAATAATAATAATAATAATAATAATAATAATAATAATAATAATAATAATAATAATAGTAATAATAATAACGTGAGGCATTGTGGTCAAATCTTCAAAATAATGAAATCAAAAGAAATCGGCTTTTTTTGGCCGATGGGCAATTATTTTCTAATTTTCTTTCCTTGGGGGGAGGGGGGGGGGAACAAAACCTTTCAAGTCCAATAAAAACACATTTTTGTGTGGATTGAGCTGAAAAACACTGAATAACGGCACACACAAAAAAGTAAAATTTTCAGTTTCCAAGGACTTTCAAGTTATGGAAGTTAGCAAACTTTGGCGGCATTTTCTCGCAAATCTTACCTCAGAAACTATAACGGCAATCGCAAATGCTCTACTTCTATTCAAGATAGACGGACATTTTTTCACCAGTAGCAAGACAAATGAACAAGCTTTAAGATGATACCAATAACTCCACACGCCCAAAAACTGACGAGCGCCTGATTCCACCACGTCGTGATGCTATTGATAATAACAATAGATGAATAAATAAATAAACAAATAAATAAAAATAAATAAATAATTAAAATTAGAAATAATAATAGTACATGTAATAATAATAATGATAATAATAATAATAATAATAATAATAATAATAATAATAATAATAATAACAATCATAGTAATAATAATAATAATAATAATAAAAATAATAATAATAAAAATAATAATAATAATGATAATAATAATAATAATAATAATAATAATAATAATATTCATGATTTTAAAAAAATATAAAAAATAATTGCATTTATATAGCGCATATCTAAGCCCAACAGAAAGCTCTATGTGTTTTACACTCTATTTTATCACATCAGCAGACCTTAGAACATGTAGAAACTTTCTTTCCTTTCAGTTTCACGGAAGCATACAGTACAAGCAGCTGATTAAACGCTCAAACACTAACTACCGAACTGTCAAAATCTGTCACCATCCGAAGCCGTGTACCCTTGAGTGAAGTGAGGAAAAATTCCTGCGGTGAAATTAATGCTTTCCCCAAGGACACAGCGTCTGGACCTTGACGAGATTTGAACCCACGACCTTCCTGTTGAGAGAGGGCCCAAGAGCCTAACCACTGCACCACCGACGCCACCACAGTGTGTGTTTTTTTATAACATAATATCCTCAAAACGTTCTTCAGAAAGTTCTACTAACTCCTACTGAGAAGTGAAGACAGTCCCAAAACTGTACATCGCGGGGTGAATAATACATAAATGATTACTCAATGTGTGAAGTCCAGGGTTGGGGGAGGCAGAGAGGGGAGGGGGAGAGGGGGGGCAGAGAGGGGAGGGGGAGAGGGAAAGGGGGGAGGTAGGACACCTTTGTGTCCGCGAAGACAATAATTAATTAACGGGACAGACAACCTCGCCTCTCTACTCGACGTCACCAAGGGGCCAAAGAAGTAGGGAAAGACAAACAATGCCGCACGGTCTTAGTTTTTAAAATTATTTGAGGGTCAAAACTGATTATTTTCTTTATTTATATATTCATTTATTTATTTATTCATTTATCTATTTATTTATTTATTCATTTATCTATCTATCTATCTATTTATCTATCTATCTATCTATCTATCTATTTATCTATCTATCTATCTATCTGTCTATTTATCTATCTGTCTATCTATCTATCTCTTTCTTTCTTTCTTCCTTCCTTCCTTCCTTCCTTTCTTTCTTTCTTTAGCCAATTTTACACTAGTTGGTCAGTCAACTGCATGAAGGTAGGAGTCATCAGCTCCCGATGTGGCTACATTTCGTTACCATAGAGTTACACAATTCTATTTGCTCAACTCAGCACTAGTCTTGCGAGGGTGTGGTGGCAGAGCCGTTAGTGCGCTCGTCTCCAAAGCGGAAAGTCCAGGTACGAGCCTCGGTTCGGACACGGATTTTTTTGTTGTTCGCCCCCTCCTGCCAACCTAGCAGTAATGGGTACCTGACTTTCGAATTGGGGAAGTAAAGGCGGCGTTTAAAGTAAAGGAACTGGCCATCCTACCACAATATGCCGAAGGCCCAGGAAGTTGTCTCACTTACAAGGCAATCCCCAATGTCCGGATCGGGCGCGGTAACGACTTATTAACTTTACCTAGTTTTGAGAAATTTGTCGTAAACATTTTTGAGTTTCACAATATATCAAGCCTTTTCGAATGCAGTTCTGTGAAGATCTTGACAACGACCCAGAATAATCTTACGAATTTCATAGACCACATAAAGCACTCTATTTCTGATCTGATGGTTTAATAATAGTTGTAAAGCGCATAGAGCATGCTCTTGAGCATGGGTATGCGCTATATAAATGCAATTATTATTATATTGTTATTATTATTATTATTATTACTATTATTATTATTATTATTACAT